TTCCCTCAATGCCTACAGGTACAAGTCATTCTTGAAATCAGTGGCCACCATCAAGCCTGATATCTCTTGTCTTCTTCCCACCGAGGGAGCAGTAAAACAGCATTCCCAGGAAGTGGTGGCAATTTTTTTTTCCATAATAACAGACTTTCAAGAGCGGATATCTCGAAAACTATACAAGATATCAAAAAACTTGACTGAATAAGACTTGTAGCAAATTTAATCAGCTTTCACTTTTGTCAAAGTCTCATGTCGCTAGGATGCATAGTTTCCGAGATATATGCGAAAAACCTAAAAATGGGACCTCAATCCCCCCTCTTCCCCCCGGCTTAAGGGCTACGGGCGGGGACTTTTGATATGTGTACCTCCTAACTAGTCCTAACAAAGTTACGAAGTCAAAATTGTGTTTCAAGCATTTCCCTCTATTCCTGTTTTTGAGCATTCGTTGCCTGGACTATTTAGTTTAATTAGATTTTGCGGGGTGGCGTTTTTTCTAAATGCTGCCAATGCTAATCTACATACTGCTTTAGCATGAGACAGCTCACTATTCCAATATGGTTTAGGTGTAAATTTAGTTTCCGGCTCCTGGTTGATTTTAATTTGGGGGATAAATGTGTCTGCGGCCTTGTTTAAATTATATATAAAAAGGTTATAAGTATCCTGTAAATCATTTCTAAACGTAAAATGTTCAAATAACTCGTATAAATAATCGTGATAACGCGACCAATCGGCTTTTTTGAAATTTCTTTTTTTAATATATATTTTTTTAATCACAGTATGGTTTGTTAATAATTTTATAATATTGTGATCACTACCTAGGGTTTCATTTAAAACACACCAGTCAAATCTCAGGGCAATGTCTGCACTAGCGAATGAAATATCGGGGGTTGATTTTTGAAGTATATCATTAGTCATTCGCATCCATGTCACACTTCCGTTATTAAGCGCTATAAACTGACTATCTAATGACGCGTTATATACTTGGTTGCCTCTAGAATCTGTTTTGCACGACCAACTTACATGGTGAGCTTTAAAATCGCCGAGAATTAATGTTTTGTATGCACTCGCAGAAAAAATATTATTCCATCCTTGTTGGGTCGTTCTTACAGTACTAGGGCAATAAATTGCTATGATATTTTCTATTGGCTCACAATCAAAAATCTTAATATGTAACATTTCTGTCCCTGGCTCTACTCTGGTTATTGCAATATTTTGAGATTTAATTGATTTATGAACTAACATATCCACCCGGCCATATCCGTCAGCTCTGTCCTTACGATATATACAGTAATCTTTAACTTTAAATTGAAGTTCGCAATAATAAGCCAAGTTTCGCTGACAACTGCAATGTGGACTTTACTCAGTCGTAAAAGCTCTTCAAAAACTAAAGCTTTACCTTTAATACTTTAAGCATTCCATTGAAATAGTGTTAATTTCGAAATATTATTTGTCGCCGCCATTGATACAATTTAATAAATATTTAATAATACTACAGTCAGATACATATCGCACAGCCATAAGTATACACCATTCTATACATAATTTTATAATACTAAAAAATAATACTCCTTTTATACGGAATAATAACTCTTCAAAGGATACGGGTTTCTCATTTGGTTTGCTATTGTCTGTCACTTTCGTAATCATTTTGAGGTTTGAATAGTCGGCTCCACTCGTAGTCATCTTTTTCATTCTGTTCTCGTTTATTTCTCTTTTTGTCTGTCTTCTTCTTTTGTGTGCTTTTAGTTGTGTAATCAGAACTCATCTTGTCTGTAGTTTTGAAATTATCAGCCATTTTCACGTTTGTTAGAGGTTGGAGAAATCTCTAAGGCTTTTCTGTATGTACAGGAGAACTCTGGCATCAACTCTCTCAACCGGTTTTCTTTTAAATAAACTGGGCATATTTTGGCGAAACATGGATGTCTTCCTGAGCAATTCACACATTTAAACGACGTCGTAGCACAGGTTTCATGATCCCCGGCACACTTTGGACACACTTGTTTTTTCGCTGAACAAGTTTTTACACCATGCCCTATTTTCCAACAGCGATAACATTGCGATACAGGGAATATGTAATGATCAACTTGGATACGCAGACCATCGACATAAATAAAGGCTGGCAGAGACGGTCCTTTGAAACATAAACGTACTGTCTCACTAGCCTGCCACGATCCCGTTTCTCCCTGTCTACTACGTCTATTTAAACGTTTGGCAGCAGTTATAGTATTTCCTGGGCTTGTGATATTTTGCAGTATCTCTTCCTCCTTTAAATCAAGTTCTATGTCCTTTATAGTTCCGTAACAATAACTAACTTCCATAGCTTTGTGAAATACCCAGCCTTTTTTTATAAAATTTTCACAGTTTAATAATTTTTCTGAATTTGTTTGGTCTTCAAACTCAACTCGAACTCTAAACGGATTTATGTATTTTATTTGGCAAATACCTACTATATGGTTATCATTAAACAAACTTGCCATTGCGAATTGTTTTGGTAGTGCCTCTTTGCAAGAGATATAAATTTATTTTTTTCAGATTCTTGTAACTCCGTATGATCCTCGCCTGGTTGTGGTCGCCTTAATTTCTTTCCCTTTTTCTTTATCACGTTCCATTCCCAACCGTCACTTTCTTCTGTCGACTTACCATCACTATGTACTCTCTTAAAAGATCTCTTTGATTCACATCTTTCAGACGCAATACATTCTTCATTATTTTCAGATTTACAGCTTTCCTTATCATAATTCACTTCACAATCTTTTTGACTCAATGTATCCGTTTCATTCATTATTATGCATATAGGTTCAACTGACAAAAAAAAAGGTACTCGACGCGGCGCGCCCGATATGTCAACCTGGCTGCCGCGGCTACCTACTCGCTAGATTTATTTGCACTAATAGGCGACGCAAACTTCACTGACAAAGTACACGCGACCGTCCCGTATGAGCGCCTGCGCGGGAGTGACGAGCTGAGCAATCTCTTTTATTAGAATAATTAATAAAATCATGAATAATTTATTCATACGCTATTAATCCGTAAATGAATTATTTGTGAAAAATTATATTACAAATAAATTCTTGTTAAAATAATTATGAAGATTAAAATTTATCCGAATAATGGTGTCGATTCTGGCATGATTCTATAATCTTAAAACTAAATTAAACATCAGTTTCTCCTTTTCATTCTGTATAGAGGACACACTGTTTAGGTTTAGAGAACCATGCCAGAATTGACACGAATGCCCAACTCTGTGAGCAATGCTCTGTGTACTGTATTGCATGATAAAATCATAAATGAGACAATATGCAGGAGCACTAAAGTAACCAACGTTAAAGATATTGCTCAACTAAATTAGCAGTGGGCGGGACGTACAGGTGATCTAATCCTCGTCGTTATGAAACGAAAGAAATGTTTATTTTAAATTTTATTTAAAAATCGAAAAGATCGGTACCATACCAATAAATTCGGATTGTGATTGTCAAAGTAAGAAGTCATTATGTGGAGTTGTAGATTAAATATAATCCAGCATAACCTCTCCTTTTGCATTGTGCTATGTGTTTTATGGATGGTATGGCCTTTGCAATGTAAACAGCTGATAACTTTTTTGATTATAATCTACGGAACATTTGCTTATCTTGTTTTATTAGTTATACATGCATAAGTACACATGTATGAACTATTTTTATGGCAAAATTTTCAGTGTATGATAACGATTATACAGAAAGTGATAGGTAAATATGGATAAACACTACATGACGTCTTACTAAGAGAAGTGCCTTTATTATTAACTTTAAACAGTAAAAATATACATTTCATAATGGTGATATGTAACTCTTGTTTGCGGACAACTAGCAATACGCGAGTATGCTGACCCTATTTCCTAAGTTAACCGTGAGGGTGCTCCATGATATAACCCTAGAACCTAACATACAAAACACTACACCCCAAAAGGTAGAGTTATTTCACCGTGGTCTTCTGTAAGGTGGGAGGATACTCCCCTGTGCGGGAAATCTGTTGAATAGTGCCTTCCTTTGTAGATATTCTGGACACTGTTGTCTAAGTATTCTGCTTGCAAAGGAAGCTGACATACGCACAAAAAATTCGGTATCGCTGCTTCTTTTAAATCTCTTTTCCACTTCCACATTGGATATTATGGCTTTATCGTTATGCACGATGATTCTACCAATGTCATGGTTAAATCTCTTAAGTTCAAGTTTTTTTTCTAATTTTCCTTACACTGTTTCATGGTTTAGCAGCTGTGCTCAAAAACGGCAAATTTATTTGATGCTTCGTTTTAATAGTCCGGGAGGCACCAATCCTGAAAGCTCCGTGACACGGATTCTAATATTTTTAATAAAAAATAAAAGTTAACGCTTAGACGAACAAGATTTGCTTGGTCGGCGTGGATTTGATTGGCCGGAAATATTTTAATTAAATTATTTATTATTAAAAATTCTATATTTTTTTCCGTCATCACGGATTTTGATCAATCTTATATAGAATTTTGTGTGAAATATTATGTTCAACAAGAAAAAATCTGGCCGACCAATGATTTTTAGCCGGAAAGGTCACGCATACCTATTTGAATGGTGTGATAAGGGGTAAAATTTATCCATCATCACGGAAACCTTTATTATTTTTTTTAATTCACACGTTTTAATGTCACATTTATAATTATCTTGGTATGCGTGCTTACAAACTGCCGAAAGTATCGCGCATACCAAATTTTATTGAAAAAAAATATGGAAATTAATAATAAATAATTTAATTAAAATATTTCCGGCCAATCAAATCCACGCCGACCAAGCAAATCTTGTTCGTCTAAACGTTAACTTTTATTTTTTATTAATAATATTAGAATCCGTGATCACGGAGCTTTCGGGATTGGTGGCTCCTCGCCTATAAGTAACGTATTTTCTCATTCTATTGTTATCGTAAAAAGGATTGACTTCCTCTGAATGCGACCGTTAGTGAATAATGCCTTAATGACATCACTATTTCTATTACAGATTCTCCATAATGACGCTATACAACTACACTAACGGTTATAACTTGATGACTTACCTCGAGTATCCCATTATTTTGCTCCAAGTTTATGTACTGACCTATTATGTGCTTCTGTACAAAGGCGTCTTGTGTCAGCCCACAGTTTCAATATTTACTATAGCCTACTGGGCTGCAGTGAGCGGTTTTGTATCGGAAATTCTTTCAAAGGATATTCTCTCGTATCTGGTTGTAAGTATAATATTATGTGCATAATTTGATTTGATTTTATTTTGATGTTATACTCATGCTATAGCCGTCGAGGGACTCGATGGGAGGAACTCGATGGTGCAAGTGTTTAGCGCGTTCGGCTACGATCGTTGGAAGTTAAGCAGCTTTCGCAGTGTTTGGTCATTCTGTGGGTGACCAAAAATTTACTATTTTAAGCTCCTCCGTGCTTCGGAAGGCACGTTAAGCGGTTGGTCCCGGCTGCATCTGAAGTCGTTAGCACCAATCTTCCTATTTCATCCATAGGGAAAGCCTGTACCCCCAGTAGTGGGGATATTAATAGGCTGACGATGATGATGATGATAGCGTTCAAGTGCACGCACCATTAAGGCCAAAATCCTTTGCATACTTTGTATGTAACGGTGACTAGCGGAACCTTTTGACTAAGGTGACCTCAGAAGTAACTCTGAAGCCATTTTTCAACTTGACCACACTGTATATAATAATACAGGGAGAAAAAAACAGCCCTTGCTGAATTTCTTGCCGGTTCTTCTCAGTACAAAAAGTCAGTACAAAGGTGATGGCTGAAAATCGGTATTTTGCCTTAAAACTGGCAAATGTTTAGCCGAGCCTTGGCCTTTTGCTTTCTGCAGCATACATATAGATATTTCATAACTGATTTCTTGTATCTTTTTTTTATTGTATTACTCTGTCTGTAAATGTATATGTATGTTGAAGAAAAAAATAAACGCATTATCTATCTATCTATCTATCTACAAGATCTCCCGTCGTAGTTTTGCGAACTGGGGGCCATTCGCCTAACGGGAATGCTTTAGAAACGCTAACGCTTACGATTTTATTTTGTTATTTCAAGCCGCCTGAAGTTTTCAAATGCCTCGCGCTTTTGCATTAGTTTTTTTTTTATGTTATAGGGGGCATACGAGCAGACGGCTCACCTGATGGTAAGTGATCACCGTCGCCAATGGACACTTGCAACACCAGGAGTATCACAAATGCGATGCCGGGCTTTAAGGAAGGAGTACGCTATTTATATTCCTCCGCTCACTGTTTGTCATAAGTTCTATCTCTGGAACGGAAGTCAGTAGACACGTAAAATTTTCACAAAATGCGTTTTCTGCGGTCGATGTCACAACAAAAAAATAAAAAGGTTAATGAGTCAATGGAGTGCGCTCGATCAAGTTCAATACCTTTGTTTCCGTTGAGACACACAGTCACATTTTTTATTACACTGTTACAAATTGGTAAGAAAATTACCGATTATTATCTTTGTTACTCAATGCCACATTTTTATTCCTTTGAGTTATTTCAAATTAATACACAAGATGATGTGACACAAGTTCAAGGGCGGATCCGGGGGGGGGGGGGGGGGTCATGGGGGTCATGACCCCCCCCTGGGCTGGGTACAGATGGACCAAACCCAGGGGGATTTTATTTAAGTACTTTCAATATTTAATATACCACGACTATATGACCCCCCCTGGCGCCAAAGCTGGCTATATGACCCCCCCCCCTGGCGCGAAAGCTGGATCCGCCCTTAGACACAACGGGAACAAAGGGTTAAATATTGACATTTAATTTAGACAAACTATGTAGTTACTTAAGTTTGATGCAACGGGTGTATATTTTTCAGCCGTTCTGCACTCCGTTGAGTGGTTTCGCTAAAGTTACCTACATCTACGGCATCATACGTGCTGGCAACGCTGACGCCGTCTCGCTCACCACTTGGATCATCTCTGTCGCTACTAATCTGGGTAAGAGCAAGAACAATCAAATTGTATATAGTTGGATCAAGCGCAAAGTGAGTTATTAATGCACGAGCGCTATGTTTATGTCGGTACCCGAGCGCAGAGGAGGGCACTCAATTAACACGGGTGTATTAATAATTTATTATTATTAATAATTTGAGATTTGGGGGGTAAGCACAGACACACGCACGCACGCATGCACACACACATACACACACCCACACACCACTATGTCAATCTGATTACAATTGTTCGTATAAAAATGAAATCTTTATTAGTGACTATTTTTTCAGTTTACTAATTAAGGAAACAGACAATAGATATTATGTGTAGATTTTCACCAAGAACTCTCCATTTACCAGTTTAAAGCAAGAGAAAAGCAACTACTATCAACTATTTATTTTGCGGCTTTTACTAATATGCTACAAAATATAATTCAGAATGCTACAGGTGCTAACTTTAGAATATTTTTATAATTTATTTGTTGTGATAGTGGCCGCAGTATAACACATTTTGTTAAACCGTATACTTTTTGTTAACCGTTGTGGCAGAGTAAGAATAAATGCTATTTTTATTACCGGGAGCGTATGTATTGTGACTAGTAATTCAGAAATTTTAAACACATTTTGGTTTGGATTTGTGTTTGATCGCATCTAGCATGATAGGCAACGTCAGCACTGTCTTAAGACGGAGCGCTTGTTTATCGCGTTCTGTGTGCGATGATGGCAGTTACCAAAACTTTATATCTCGAGCTCATCCTTGCTTTGTAAGGCGCGGTAAGCCGTTGGTCTCGGCTGCATTTGCATTCACCAATACGTACTGCGCCGCGTGGTAAAAGCATGGTCCGCCTCCCTATTCCCTATTGGGAAGGCCTGTGCCTAAGCAGTAGGGACATTATAGGCAAATCATCGTGAGTCTTATAAGAACCTTGTAAATCAATGTTAGTTTGACAAACTTCACGTTTCACGTAGTAATAATTTGTTTGTCAAATGCACCAAACACATTCTTAAACGATCATATTTGTCTGACAAACACGTAAAGGATGATGGGCAAAAATGTATGGAACTTGGTATCCGTTCCAATAGAGATGTGTTACATATCATTTGAAAGGTCTACTTGAATACAATAATGTCTACTATGGCGCTTGCCCTGGTACGTTGTCGAAACAGAGTTACATAATAAATAATAAAAAAAAGTTTTTTCCCTTTTAAATTGTTATACATTTCAGTATTTACATTATTTTAGCAGTGTTGTAAGTATTAACAATAGGCATAAGGTTAGAGCGTTGATATCTGCAAAAGTTTAAAAAAAACTGTATTGCAGATACCAGTGCCTTCCGACTTAGTAACAATACAACCTCGTGTGAACTATTTAATGTTTATCTTTAACGAGAACGTTAATAAAAGAAAATGGTAAAAACATAATAAAAAAAAACAATAACTAGCTTGTTATATTGAACGGTAACCATAGGCGTATATAGAGGGGGGGCCAAGTGGGCCGTGCCCACCCCAGGATGTTGGACTACCGATTCGAAATTCTATAATACTAATCACTAACTTCAGATGACTCTTCAATATCAGGGCCCAGGCCCCCCCTGAAAAATAACCCTAGATAGAACCCTAGATACGCCAATGACGGTAACACTTAATAAAAAACTTTAACAAAAATAGATAAAAATAGATTTTAAATATTAATCTTTGTTGGTACATTATGATTTTATTCATTTAATTTTTTTATGTATGCAGTTATCCAGAGGCAGAGTGAAAGAAACTAATTTTTGAGTAATTACTTTATTCATTATCTATAATAAGGATGTCATTTAGGAACAGTGCAGGAGCGATGAATCCGGCGTGCCTGGCATAGCCTAGGTACAGTCGCCATCAGATATATCTGAGCATACAAGATGACCAAATACATCTGAACAGTTAAAATGTCAATAAGTTCTATACACTACAAGTGACCATTAATATCTGATCATTCATTACTTCAATAATATCTGAGCAGATGCCTGTCAATAATATCTGAACATACAACTTTTCAAAAATATCTGAACAATTTTAATAGGACCTCTTAATTATTTATTTATAATAAGATGACGCTGGCAGTTAAACACTTTCCAGTTTTTATTCTTATCACCTCTGTCATGTGTCATGCACAAATAAATTCAAGCAGCTTGCTTACGTATTAGTTCATACCATAAATTAACTATAATTAATATGAGTTCGTACTGTATTGATGCGGAAATGAAACATAAAATAATACAACTAAAAAATGATGGTTTATCCGTAAAAGATATCGCCGATGAGCTAGGGATAGCCGTAAGTATCACGGAGAAAAATGCTAAAAATCAATTGCCCACAAAACATGAAACTTTATTCACAAAGTATAAAATTGTATTTATTTCAGAGAAATACTGTATATTTATGGCTAGAAAGATGGCAGCAAGGAGAAACATTAAATAATCATGTTTCATTTGGTCGCCCGCGTATTACTACAAATAACCAAGACATAGCTATTATAGATAAAGCCAAAAATGACAGATTTATAAACACTACACAATTTTCAAGCACATTCGAAATATCCACTAGCACCATTAGAAGACGATTAAAAGAAGGAGGTTTAAAAAATAGAGTACCGGCAAAAAAACCAACTCTCACGCCAAGGCACAAAATGCAGCGGCTACAATTTGCAGCTAATTATTTAAATTTTAATTTTCAAAACGTTATTTTCATGGACGAAAAGGTTCTCTGCTCATCAGATAATGGGCGATTAAGTTTGTGGCGACCCGAAAACACATGTTACTTAGAACAAAATGTGCTGCCTAATCGCCGGAGTGGACGTATTTCAATTGGATTTTGGGGATGGATGTGCAAAGATGGTCCTGGTGAGCTTGTGGAAATAAGTGGACGAATTAATGCAATGAATTATAAGGAACTTCTGGAAGATACTTTTCTTCCTACAGCTCAAGTTTTTTATCCAGAACAACAAATGACATTCCTTCAAGACAACAGCTCAGTACATAATGCTCGTACAGTACAGACATGGATTAATGAACAGAGAGAACTAACTTTAATCAAACTACCACCAAAAAGTCCAGACCTCAATCCCATCGAAAACCTTTGGGGTAAAATGGTGCAAGAGTGGGATGGGAATCAATGTCGAACAACAGAAGCCTTAAGGCGACATGCAAATGATGTTTGGGAATCGTTCAGAGGTCGAGGTTTTTGTGAGAAGGTAGTTGGTTCCATGAGGAAACGTTTACAAGACGTATTAAATGCAGAAGGAGGTTACACAAAATACTAATGTTTCATGAGAAGTATATAATTGGTCAGCCTTTAAATAATTTGGTCGGCACAAAAAGATTTTGTAAGCAATTTAAAAAATCAGGCAGCAATCCTTGTTCGGCAAATAATTATATAATGGTCAAAAATTTAATATGAGAGTATACAAGATGGCTCATTTAAATGGGTCAGTATGGGAAAGTTTGAACTATAATATATACGAAGATCTGTTCTTAGGAACTATGTCATCGATTTTAATAAAAATTAAAACTGCATTCATACATTTAAGAAAAACCCTGTGGTCAGCTGGGGAATCGAACCCGGTCGTTTTGAAAAAAAAACTAACACTATTTCCTATTTCTATTTATTAGTAAGATAAGTTACCTATACGTGTTAAATTTTGTATTAAAAAAACGGTGGTCACTTAGAACCTCTACTGAAATAATTTAAATTATGTGACAAAAATGCATTTTACGCATTTGAGACATCACGTTTAATAGAAACATTTACTGCTTCAGACCTACATAATCGATATTTAAATAGAAATAGTGTAAGTTTTTTTTTTCAAAACGACCGGATTTGATTCCCGTGCTGATCACAGGGTTTTTCTTAAATGTATGAATGCAGTTTTTATTTTTATTAAAATCTTGTTCCCAAGAACAGATCTTCATATATATTATAGTTTCAGACTTTCCCATCCTGACCCATTTCAATAAGCCAACCTGTATAATGAGAGTGGAGGGTTACCCGGGGAGAGGAAACCGAAGAAAAAAAGATGGATAGATTGTGTGAATGAGGACATGGCCAGTAAGGGAGTGAGTGTTGATATTGCGAGTGATAGAGGAGAATGGAAGCGGAAGACATGTTGCGTCGACCACATATAGAATTGGGAAAAGGGCATGCAAATGATGATGGTCAAAAATGAAATCATAAAAAGGCAGCTTACAATAACATGGATCTGCAAGATTTCATAATTCGTGTCTGTACTGTAGATTGGTTAGCAGGAGAAAACATGTCTATAAGCAGTATATTTGAATAGTATGCATATTTAAAAACCAGTCAAGTGCGAATCGGACTCGCGCACGAAGGGTTCCGTACCATTATCTAAATAAATATTTTTATATTGAATTAAATGTAAATTGCGGTAATTGCTTGATCTCGTTCAAATCAACTTTTGCTAGAAGTTTGCATGGTAATGTACAGACACGAGCTTTCATCTGGGCCCCACCTTTGAATATCGTGTAGCAATCTGCTGCAAGCTGTATAAAGCTAATAATTTAATGCAACGTCAATGTCATAATGTTTACCATTGACAACTTTACGTTACTAGGGGCAACCATGCAATTACGTCATCTGAAGCGACAGCAAAAGATCATTTCCGATGTTATGTTATGTTCCGTTTCCGAATTATACTTTGTAAAAATGTCACATTAAACTGTTTTTTCAATGACACTGACACGAAATAGTATTTTATAAAGAGGTTATCATTTCAAGGGTCGATTCATTATGACATTGTCATCAAAACACTATCAAACTAAAATTTCGACCTTATTGCATTATGAATTCTAACAACATTTAGTGGAAATGGGTCCCATATTTAATTTATAGACCTATCAATTTTATAGACCTATCCATACCCCACACGTAAAGATTTGATAAAAAAAAAATCTAAGTCCATTCGTTTTTTTTTCTATTTTTGTATTAATATCGTTTTTTTGCCATTTGGCTACGGAACCCTAAAAATGGTGAGCAAAATAACTAATTGGTCTGCGTTTTTGTTGAAAATTCGACAATATACGTTACGGCCGTCTACGTCTGTTAGAAATTCCCGTCTAAACGGGCATTGATAATATTGGGAAATTATTAAGCTAATAATAATACGCTAATTTCAAGAACCTTACTAATTGCCTGATAACTTTTTGATTTGATCTCATGTATAATTATAACAATAAAACATTTTGTTACTATTTAATTTTAAACTCATTGTATCAGAAGTTGCTTTTTTTATTTCGATCTCGATTATAATTTTATTATAATAATAAATACTTAAGCTTGAGCATCTACTGAGGTAGTGTACCAAGTTAATTCGTTTACATTTTTGATTATTTAACTCAATAAAAATTTATAAGAATTAAATTTGTTTTTTATTAATTTTCACTTTTATAAATAATACATACCCAAACCAAACAAACGCCCAGTTTGAGCATGACAAGTACAGAATTCCATTTTCCACTGCAATGGAAATAGTGGGACAAATGTTTCCTCCAAATTATTACTTATTTCTATTGCGGTTAAAAAACGCAGTTGTCTTATTTTTAACCCGGCGTTCGCACAGTTGGGTCTATTTGACCCGAGCAGTTTTCAAATGAGCGTGTTTCTTAAAATGTTTGTGCGACTTTGCCAAACTTCTCAGTAGCTGGAGCTAATGGTCCCCCCCTCCACGTGGGATTTGCCAATCAGTCGTATTGCGGCCGCAGCGAGTGATAGACACGGCCAAACACGAAAAAGGTAAATATGACCCAACCATACTATTCGTGTCGTAATTTTGCGCCGTTTAAATAAATGTTTTATTGTTGTTTTATATTGTTTATTTTGTTATTTTTGGCAAATATGTCTGAAATAAATGCGTACATATTACATAACGCCAATTTCTAAAGAAACTTAAGCCTTATACTGGTTCGTGAGCATTTGCGCAATCGTAAAGATGTCATTCAGTTGCTAAGACTTATACGCAAAAGAATAAGAGAGTTTTTAGGAGTAGGTACCTGATGAGGAGCCACCTGTGAAGATACTTTATGTAAGAAAGAGATGCCAAGACTGTTCTGCCAAAAAAGATAGAAAACTAATAATTTTCGGAGCTGTATATGCAAATACATCTGCAGTGACCATGCAATGTTGTACTGCCGAGATTGCGCAGATGATAAGGATACTATGACTGACGTATGAGACTGATACAAATAGTATAATATTATTAGTTTACTAAAGATTTGATTAACATGTAACAAATTAGTTTATGTTATATAAAAAAAAATGTTTTGTTAAAATTTTATTACTTTAAGACAGAGGTTGTCCATTTTGTTAATATTTTGTGACACTTTTATGAAAATGACATTAAAAAGATAGTTTCGTATCATGTTGTGTTTTTTTCTACTCAAAACCTATAACGATAATCGTTTTATACAGATAGTACAACCACATACCAAATTTATTTTAACTTTTGTAATTATGGCGTTTTCTTATACGGGTCCTCTCGACCCAACCCTACTGTCGTTGATGCATATTTTGACTGTGCTGACGCCGGGTTAAATAAATTTCTAAGGAGATATTGAGAATTTAATCTATAGAATAAAATAAAAACATAACTTCTCGGTAATTATAAAAAATAAATAGAGAAAAAATTATGCATCTTCCATTTCTACTACTCGTGGTGACCTACACGAATGATTTTCTGATAGATTTTTATTCCCTTCTCATCGTATTTATTCCTTATATTTAGCCTTTGTTTTTAGTTCATCCTTTCAATCACGTAGTAACAAAATATGTAAGCCCAGTGCATGATCTGCGTAGATACATAATCATTGACGTGTTCAGATATTATTGAAAAGTTGTATGTTCAGATATTATTGACAGGCATCTGCTCAGATATTATTGAAGTAATGAATGTTCAGATATTTATGGTCACTTGTAGCGTATAGAACTTAATGACATTTTAACTGTTCAGATGTATTTGGTCACCTTGTATGCTCAGATATATCTGATGGCGACTGTACCATATAATTAATAATATGTCAGCACAAGTTCTTATGGTACGTCTACCGGTTACACATGTACAATAATGTTGAATTATATTATTATAATTATTATTCGGTAAGTATAATAATGGTAATAACGGTTCCGGCAAAAATGGTTCTGGTATTTTCTGGAAAAAATAAAAACGGACAACAAATATCAGAATGCCGCCATAGTAACTAATATTCTACATGAAAAGAGGTATTCAATGGTATATCACTCATCGCTATTGATACCAAACACCAATTGGATACCAAAATGCCCGTCCTCCTTTGCCTCACAAATTTGATTGTTTACAGGACTCTTAAGATTAGGTATTTATTATCTTACAGCGCGCGTATTCACTGTATACGTGGACTCGGCGGACGCTAAACTGATGGCGAACTTCTGTATCTCAACTATGCTCAGCGCTGGAGTGCTGATCACTGCACTATTTTACCAACACTACGGCGCATCGGCTACCGATATTTATTCTAGAAGAAAATGCTCACAGAGGCGACGCAGCCATAACGATTAGGAAAGCCTTCTCCCATCAAATTGTTGCAATATGGTTGCTCTCTCCCCCATTTTAAGCAAATTTTTGTTACTAATATAAAGGAATACAAATAAATGGTATAACGCGGTCGATTAACGAATGCTTCTGAAAATGGTGGCTTACTTAATAAAAAAGTACCTATCATCTATTTATCAAAAGAATAAGACATATTATAATACCTAGTGTGGCTCACATAAACTTTAAGTGAGATGTAAATAGTAGACCAGCGGGCCAATCGCCTAACGGAAAGGCTTTGGAAAACGCTAACGCTTACGATTTTATTTTGTTATTTCTAGCCGCCTGAGGTATTCAAATGCCTCGCGCTCTTTCTTTTTATTTTGCATTGGTAATAACAATATTAAAAAAAATGAGCGTGAGGTATTCGAAAACCTCAGGCGGCTAGAAATAACAATATAAAATCGTAAGCGTTAGCGTTTCCCAAAGCATTTCCGTTAGGCGATTGGGCCCCAGGTGTGTATAGCCGCAATTTTAAATAACATTCTTATAATTGACTGTGTTAAATATTTTAAATCTACGCAACAGTGCTCAATGTTTTTAATTCTTATATTAGTTTTATGAAATATCTGTTAATAAAATTGTGAGAATTCTGAAAATATTCAAATAATTTGTGAAATATTGACAAGTTACATAGAAAATTACAATAAAAATAATTCATAATACAAAGGTATATAAAATAATAGTATAATATTTTGTGGATGGAAATACCTACTTGCGATCCATCATTTTTAGTCATTACCAATAAAGGAACACTTTTTCATGTGGTCAATTTATAATATTTTATGACATTTATTGAATTCAGTTAAAAATCATGTTTCACGGAAGTTCTTTCGTTAAATAGATATTAAATTGTCACTAGCAATTTACAAGTTTGTATAAAATGCGTATTATAAATTGCACTAAACATTCATATTCAAATCATATTTATTACTTTCAAACAATGAAATGCAGCCCATAGTGAAATATTGATTAAACACTGATTACAGCTAAGACTGTTATTGTAGGTACCTACTTAAAGTTTGTGCAGGTACTTTTAAAGTGGCCTTTCGGAGTATTTTGTTTCTAGGGAAAACTACGAGAACTCGTATTACGCCACAGACAAATAATGGACACTCGCATGAAGTTGACAAAACTAGGAAAAGAGAGAGCGACAGTGTAGCCAACATTGTCATAGTAAGAATACATTATTATAGTGAGCAGCTCGATGGCGCAAGTGGTTAGAGCGTTCGGTTGCGATAGTTAGTTTGAAGAATGGGATGGGTGACCAAACATTTACTATCTCGAGCTCCTCCGTGCTTCGGAAGGTACGCCGTTGATCCCGGCTTCATCTGCAGTCGTTATCACCCACCAATCCGCACTGGGCCTGCGTGGTGGGACATGGCCCAAAATCCATATTCAATCCATAGGGAAGGCCTGTGCTTCAGCATTGGGGTTATTAATGATGAGGTAATTGGGGCTGATTATTATTATATTGTATTAAGCTGTTTATGACTTGTACGAACACGAACTACACACGCACGGTCACGGTCTCTCATCGTTATCATACTTTTCTGACCATTGCTTGGTAGCTCTATCGCTTTTAATCTTTCTAGAGTGATTAATTTTACGTAGCTATTGTTCAGTCCATTCTCTGACTTTGGTAGCCAATACTCAAAATACACAAAGTTTTAATTCTATATACTATTCGATGGTATAAATATCCTATTTATTTATTTTAATAATGTTGTAGTGTAATTTTGAACATGAAATTTCTTTATAAATTTTTCGAAATGAAATCGTTTTATAATTTATAGCAAAATTAATTTATTTCGTAGTACGCTAGTGTAATTTTATTGATTTTTTTTATCATGACTATTTATACTATTTGTAACTGCACTTTTTTGCATTGCATTAGGTATTGTGATGCCGACCGATTTATCGATAGTCCGTAAAGATGTTATTTTCACACTTTACAGCGTATCAACTAATTTTATGAATCAGTTACTCATTTAAACGATTAGTTGAAATTAAATGATAATGCCTATATATATAGTCGGCAGCACTGTTTAAAGTATTTGAACGATATGTTATTAGCTTAGATTTTGATGTTGTTGTTGTTTTATGCCATTTTAGTAGTATTGTAGTAAATTTATTTTAGTAATGGTCTATTTTATACATATAATTGAGTTGTTGTGCGTATTGGTTTAAAGATAATATTTAAATGATAATTAATATTTACTGTCCACACCAAAAAATAAATACAATTGCAAACGTAAAGGTTTGGTTAGCAATTGGTATTTTTTTGGTGTGCACTTAGTGCGTTTTGAGGATCATTTAAATATGACCCTTAGTTTAATGTCTTGCCTTTCATGAATATATAGGGTTTTTCAACAAGAACTTTGTTTTTCAATTGTGGCTGCACCAACAATATGATAGTTTAGACATTTAGTTTTTTGACGCATTCGTAGTAGATGCATTGGCAATTGTTACAATGAATTCAATTTCTCTTGAAAATCGAATTAAAATATTTAAAATAAACTATGAAAATAGCGGACAACATAATCGTCCTTCTGAGACCGCTATAAACAATTGATTAGTTTTAAAATTGAGTCGACAGTCTCGATACAAAATGTGCCAACTCCAACACGTGTTCGACCGGGTCGTTCAGCTGAAAGCATCGCAGCCGTGAGCCACAGTGTTGAAGCAGATCCAAATTTGTTAATTTCGCGACGTTCTCAACAATTGGGGTTATCGAAAACCACCACATGGCGAATTTTGGCCTATTTTTGATGACGTGGATATCACTGAAATGTGGTTTCAACAGGACGGCGCCACATGTCACACAACCAATGAAACGATCAATTTATTGCAAACCAAATTTCCGGATCGCATAATTACACTAAACTCAGCTGTTAAGTGGCCAGCCAGATCATGTGATTTAACACCACTAGATTATTTTTTGTGGGGCTATGTTAAGGACAGAGTCTATACGGGGCCAATTGAATCAATTGCAGCCTTAAAACTCAAAATCCGTGATGTGATTAACGACATAGTCCCGGCATTTTGCCAAACAGTGATTAAAAACTTTGATGAAAGAATCGACATCTGTCAGCGTGCTCCTGGTGGACATTTGCCAGATATAATTTTGCATTCATAATTGCCGAACTTTTCTCTTTATAATTCAATAAAAAATTTAATCATCTTCATCTAAATTTTTTGTTTTATTTTGTTTTAGAAAACAAAGTTCTTGTTGAAAAACCCTATATAAGTAAAACTACCATCAACTAACAAATCTTATAAGACGACGCGTAAAGAATTCTGTCTCTCACGCCAGAATGATCTGCGTTATTTGTTTTTTTTTATTCACGTAAACAAATAATAAATGCTCATAATATAAGTGATGTGTATTGTTCAGAACAATGAAAAGGTACCGTAAACGTGGATATAGTAAATTGTTAAGTAAAAACTTATTCGTGTTGTTTGATTTGGTTTTGTAATAACAAATGGCGAGTTGCGAACTGTTATGGCTTGATTTTGTTTTTAAAGCCTTATAAGAAAAATTGGCTTGTATTTTTATCGCGTGATGTGTGATGGATAAAAGTTTAATAATTAGAACTAGTGAATTTGAAAAGCACGTTCAATATGATGTTTATACATTATAAAGTTGTTAATCAATTCACAGAGAGAACATTACATGGTACGAATGCTCAAATTATGTTATCAACAATCGAAAAGCATTTGACAGTAGTGATAACCTTAATGTGCTGAAGACTGCATATTGTATGATATTCATTTGTATGAAGATAAACGTTGTAATCAATGATAACAACAATAATTTTCCAAAATTTCTAGTCCTACAATCGAAAAAAGACATTAACATAATAAAAAATATTGATTATATTTTTTAATTGTTTTTAAGTATTCCATGGGCCCAATTATGTACTACAGTATATTAGTCAATATTGTGTTACCTTAGTTTTAACCTAAAATTCTTTGAGTATAACACTTTTTAGGCTGCCTGGCTTATGTAGCGCGATTCATTATTTACATTATTCTTGACGTATCGGATCCTTTGTTTTCACGCTACGTGGTCAAAATAACTCTTTATTTAATTTTAATTCCCATAGTAATGTACTAAACATACTAAATTACACACAACTGACAACAAAAGCATTTTTTTTGTCCTAACTAGTAACAAAAATTAGAATTTTGATGACCCATATCTCACCACTGCCTAAATTGAGGTGTAAATAGTCCACTTGCCACCACTGGCAACCATTGTTTTTTTTTCTCGTTTGTCCCTAGTGGGAACGAAGCCAGTGGTGACGACTTGAAACAACCGTAGTGATCACAAGACTACAACAGAGCCAGTAAAGTGTCTAATTATGTAAAAATGTAGGTATATTAACGCAGGTCAAACACAAACCACCTTATTAAAAAATGAAGACTAAGCTTTTATTATTTACTGTATGTTTGGTCTCTGTTAATTGAATGACAGAGTGCACATAAGTGACATGAATAAAAGACGGCGTAACTAGTCTAAGCTTATTCCTCGTTTATTAATAAGGGGGAAAGTGTTTAATTAAAATGATGGATGCTGTGCGTGAAATCGTTGGTGTAAAAATATAAAAAGTAACAAGTAGGTTAGGTTTCCAAGGTATATATATATCTATATACCTTGGAATAAAATCTTCTATGTGTTCTATTGTTACTTGTAACACTGATAATCGTAAGTTAAAATAACAAACGATGAAATGATGATCCTTTTTTGGTATACATAGAAATTGAAATGTTTGTCATGTAATTGCTTAGAATGCCGTTGTAATTTGAGTATTCCGCAATAGTAAAAAAACATTTTTTATATAATTGCGTTTCAATGAAATTGTACAGTATACCCATCAATAAGGTGACATGCAAATATCTATGGAAATGGATTAAAATATCAGTTTGTAGGTGTACAGTTGAAGGAGATTGACGTCAACCATTTTTAGTACATAATCGCTTAACTTTGATACAATTAATTGGAGGAATTTCCAAAAACTAATTCGAGCGTGAGTAGTGAGTACGCTTAAAAGAGACTGTCGATTGAGTTACAACTAGTGCCATTTTTCAAATAAGTACGATTTGTTACTAAAAGAAAACATGTAACAATTCTTAGCAAATTTTTGTGCAATGTTATTTTAAATATTGACTGTAAATATAATTCAAAAAGACAATGTATTTTTAAGGCTATGATGATGTAATTTGACTGAATTTAATGTATTATTCACAGTTTAATACATATATCTAGTGATTATTGTAAATTATGTTTAGCAATGTATTCCAATATTTATTCGATTAAATAAATTAAAGTTTAGTCATAAATTTGAGTTTTGCTGCATTAGCCTTACCATAAGCGCAACACATATTATTTTCGCAAATTCTAATCGTACCTACTTAAGGTGCGAAAAAGCTACTTTATTGACTAGGAATAAGGCAGATTTTCACTCTTAAAGAATAAAAAATAATATTAAATAATGCTATTCTAAAACTAAAAAAAAGGCTGGAATTGTGTCGATGAAATTTTATGTATGCATTCAAGTGGCCCCTTGATGGTTGATATTTACAATTGGACCCGGTATTTGAACTCCTCCAAATGAATTTTTGATGAAATTTGTATGCATTCGAGTGGTTCTTTTACACAGCAATTTACACAAGTTATTTTTTTACTAAAATATCTTCGTCTATTTTATTAGTTTGACATTTTTCAATTATTCTATCGTATCGTCGCTCTTCAATTGCTCAAATTTTTGTAGAATTCTCTGTGCCGGCGACAAATTTATGCATCTAGAAGGTTTAATGGTTAGTAATTTCGATCGGGCTTTGCGCGGTAGGATAGCATATTGACCTTTGGATTTCTTATTAAATAAAACACTTCGTTTAGCAGAACGCACGCGTTTTGCCAATAATAGTTGGGAACACAGGTATCGTGGTGATGAAGTTTCGATCGAGGAGGTGAATTTAGACCGTGTTGATATATCAGATCCATGCTGAGGAGAGCTTATATAACAAGGTTCACATCTGTATATATTGTGCGACGACATAGTCCTCGAACTTTTCACTTCAGGCAAGGCCGGCAACCCTTCAGGTTCACTAGCTGTAGTTGTTCCATCACAGTTCTCAGGAGAACAGTTCTGTTCTTGCAACAATCCTTGTGGTTCTTGTGCGGCAAAACTCGATTTACTGGCCAACTGCTCAGCTTTGCGCCTAGCTCTTGCTTTAGCCATCTTCGCCTCAGTCTTACAACCGATGAGATGTAAATTAGCGTCAATGAATTTACAAACAGATTCCGCTTCTTCTTCCTGGGACAGATGTGCGTCTCGAAAAAATCCGTATCCGTCTCGTATATCGTGAATACCCTCAATCACTAGCCATAAAATCGTACCTATCACGAGGCAAACTGTTGTGAACACAGCAAAGATTGTGGTTAAATCTGGTTCTGAAAGGTTGTATTGAATTTTACCAAGAACACCGTAAGTGACGATATTACGAGTACGCTTGTTTGAATGAGAGCGGCAAGTGTAAAAACCTCTAAGGTCATTGTCGGCAGTAGCAACTAGTCTTAAAACTCTGCCATCATCCAGGGAACGAATTTTCTTGTCTTTAAGTACACTATTTACAGCGATATCTAAAAAGAGCCAATGGGCAGAATGAGGACTCCGTAAACTTCTTGCATGGAGACATGTTAAATTCAAAGTATTGGAATTACCCCAAGCAGTTTCATGATAAGAACCGGATACACTAGCTGTCCTCGACGACACCTGAACTTTTTCTTCTTTGTAACGCTCTACGTTACTACGATGCAGATCCTGTAATATTCCGTCTATACTTAAAGAAGCTATAACACCACTGAAAGGAGTTAGATCTTCTGGAATATTCTTCTTTATTTCGCGAGGTATGCCGCCCACAAAAAATTCGTCGTTACACAGTCTATAGATAGTATTTTTGTGGGCCCTGCTAATATCAAGTGGTGCTGATTTTATATCAGACTTATGATGTTCATTAGTAGATTTTCGCCGTTTTCTATTTTTGTCATCTCCAAATAAAATATGAAGATGTTCACCAGAGTTTATACAAGCTTCTATTGTGTTGGTTCCCTTTTCTATAGAAATTTGTATATCCAGCCATTGATCTAAAGGAATATCACAGGAACTGCTGGTTTCCGCACGGAAGTCATTCGTATTTAGTTTTAACTTCAATCTTAAATTTTGTATAGCCAGGTAAAGCCAGTTGTTAGTATTATCATCTTTCAAAAACAGTATCGTACCAGAATCTATTTTAGATTTTACTGTTAGACGTAATTTCCATGCTTCGGGTGTGTTAAAACATGGCAACCGTAAATATTGCTCGTCGTCTAAATTTAAGAATGCCTCTTCTAGATTTGCCTTTTCATATGCAACATTAGAAACATAAGTCGGTGAAAAATCTATTAATTTAGATCTTCTCTCTCTGTCTACTTTTATGTTAAGAGGGATAAAATTAAGCATTATCTCTTGAACTTCTCCATGTAACCTTTCGCCAATAAATATATTCATTACTTCAATAGGAAGCTCTGGGTCGCAAGGGAAGGTACTTCTGATTGTAATATCAGAATCATCTAACCTAAGAGTCGCGGCCTCACTGGTGACTGTTACTAAAGCAGAGTGCCAAGTTGCAGGTTCTATTACTTCCGTAGTACAAATTCTAGGTAAATCACACGAATGAGATGAACCACTGGCGTCGACGCAAACATGCCACTTTTGTAAACTTAATCGAACCAGAGGGTAGTGGACGGCCCCTCTACGGACTAAAGTTCCGTGAGGAGAAAGGGGCATAAATCTGATATAGAAATGAAAAAGTGCAGAACGCTTATTTTCGAAATTGTATTGAATGTGCGACTCCCCACTTAAAACTGCTACGGTATGTGGAAAGACTTCACAAGGCGAAAGCTGACAAGGGCTTACTTCCGTTTTGGGCCCTACACACTTGACTGACTTTGGTCCAGCCGGTATTGGTCTCGTGCAGGATCTGGTTCTAGACCTGCGCCCGGGCCCACAGGTTTGAGAACAAGGGCCCCATGCGCTCCAGCCTGACCATCCGCCGTTTAGAACACACTCCTGGTTTTTGCAGGCTTCCACCTGATCATGCTGTCCGCGACAGTGCGTACCCCATATCAACAAAGAGTTCTCATTATGTATGTCATTGCAAGTTCGTCGACGAAGTCTTATTCCTATGCCGCAATTTACAGAACAAGCACTCCAATGTCCCCAATCGCTCCAAAGCCCGCTTTCTTTTTCAAATGAGTCGAACTGGTCCGATGCACACTGATCTCCTTCGCAATCCTGAGTTTGCAGAGGAGTACCCAAACATACTAAGTGGGCGTCCGAAGGTGGTGGATTGTCACATCGTCTGAGTCTCCAGCGAAGGCCTCGTCCACACCTGGCTCCACACACCGACCAAGATCCCCAAGCTCCCCATTCGCCAATCATAGGACAGCCCAAATTGTGTTTAACGCATTGTATAGCATTCCACAGAGTTTCAGCGTTCATTTGCCACGTATTGTCTATTGCCAAAGCTGCTTCGATTCCTTGAAACGGACATTCCATTTGAAGGCATTGCTCCATTAACGCTGGAACCAATTCTAGTTGTCGCAAACTTTCTACTCGAACTGGATCACCTTGAACTAGTTTACGGAAATCTTCGACTGTGCAGTTTGTCAAGTAGCATGCTTCAATTTGTTCGGATAACCCGGCGCAAGGCATGCCGTCTAGAGATGGTGGTGGATTGTTGCATATTCTTCGCCTTCGCCTGTGTCCAATATCGTCGCAAGGTCCTCGGCATAAAGACCAAGCCTCCCAAGGCGACCAGCCGCCGTCTACGGGGCAATCAGAGTCAGAAATAACACCCATCTCGCATTCCAGTCTCCAAACGGATTGTTGACGTTTACCATTCGGCTTCAACCCATGGTTCACCGTTACTAGTAATATTACATTTGCTAATACTGTAGACTTAAACATATTTTAAATAATTATAATTGAAAGTTTAAATCATCAAAGCCGAGTAACATGGAGTAGCTTGTTAGTTCATAACGTTGGCTAATTAGAATTTTATGTTAAGATTGAAACTGTATAGTCTGACACCAATTATAGAGATGTTTTCGGAAAAGTTACACAGTTTCTTCTATTTTTGTATTGTCTGCTCATTTGTGATGAATAAGAGCTTCACAAATCAATATAATATGACATTGTATCAGAAAAATCTGTCGATGGAGAATCGTCAAACATATGTCAACCAACGGACAGGTAAAAGCTCAGCTTTTCATTGTTCTCAGGGTAAGGGTACGGCCAGAGTGCACTCAGATTCAGATTCAGATTCAGACTCAGAAAACAAGCGCGAGAAATATACAGTGTAGTTTAAGCAGGTTGCCTGCGGCCACTATGGCCACCCTGCTTTAATTACACTGTTTATTTCTCGCGCTTGTTTTCGGAATCTGAATCTGAATCTGAATCTGAGTGCACTCTGGCCGTACCCTAAGGCCGTATACAGAAAGAAAGCCGAAAGCCGATCGGCGCTTATCGGCGCCTATTGGCGCTGATCCTTTTTCTATGAACCGGCGCCGATAAGCGCCGACACGCGCTGGTCCGAATAATAAATAATTTGTATTTGAATTATTATCCTTAGATTAAATCAATCTAAGTTATAATCTTTTTATAAATCTAATAACTTTATCTTTTATTGACTAAGCGCTAAAATTATTTGTTTCGTACTTACCGAATGGTGACAACAAGTCTTTCTTCTGGAAGGATTGGTTGTTTATGCCAATTGCCCCAATTTTTCATCAAACGGTTTTTCACTAAATCCAAAATGTAATAAAATGTTTCTTGAATCATTCTTGTATATGTATAAAATCTTTGTTTTACAAATAAATGATGGTATTCTCCGAAACGTTTCCTTTCTCTATTTATAGGATGTATAGCTTTTTTTCGCATTTTTAAATACACATTTTCTAACAAAACCAGATCATCTTCCGATGAGTCCGACATTTTGCTTGATCTGCTTTAATCGGCTTCCTTTATGTAGGAAGGATCGGCGCCGATAAGCGCCGATCGGCTTTCGGCTTTCTTTCTGTATACGGCCTAAGGCTCCTTTCATTCTGCAGCGTGTCGCCGCCGGTCGCGTGCTGCGTTACCGGTCGAGTTGGCATTGGCATTTCACAGTTTTGCGTGTGTAGGGGTGAAACGATACCATCCAGGTATCGATACTTTTACTTGATAATTGTATCCTTAGAGCGGTATAAATGCTCTTCGTACTGTATCAGTCATAAAGTATCGATGCCTAATCGGTATCGAATGAAAAGTATCGATACTTACTTGTATCGACAAATTTTGACGATGGATATTACAATTACAAATTTAATCACAGTTTTAATTTAATGAAAACAAAATAACGGCTCACGCCACGCGATGAACGTATGACTGACTGAATAAATATTGGATTTGGATAAATCATACGCAAGGCTGCCAACCGAGCAGTAGAAAAGAAACGTTCGCGAAACAAAAATTCCAACTAGACACTTCATCATAGGCTAATTAATCTGCCTATGAGTTTTTTTTTATACTTCTCAGTGAGAAACCGATCGAGTACCGATACAAGTACTTACTTCACGATACTACTTGTAACTCAGTTCTAAAGTATCGATGCCAAAAGTACTTGGTATCGAAAGAAAAGTATCGTAGTAGTTACTTGTACTATAATGCGATTCAACTAAGATTAGGACCGACTGGGCGCCATATTGTGATGTAATAGCTGTCAATTCAAACCAAATAGGTAGAGTGAGCAAAAAGAAGTTTTTATTTAATAAATCTTATTTACTAAGATTAGTGAGAAAGATTTTTTTAATAACATTTATTTACTAAGATTGAGAAAAACCGGTTTTTAATAATATTTATTTATTAAGACTATGAGAAAAAACATTAATCAGAATCTAGCTCTTCTATTCCGCTTATCTCTGCATTATCGCCGCAGTAGTTATGAATAATCATGCACTATTACTAGGTCACATACGAACATGCATCCTTTATGTAAACGAAATTTAGAAATCGATTTTCTGAACGCAACTTAAAGTGACATGTGGTTGACGATTTAGGTTATCAACCACTCATGGCCAAAGCTCAATATATTAAAAAAAACAACCGATATTAATTATCAATATTTGTTAATGTTTGTTTACAAATGTTTGGTTTTAACCTTGAATTAGCGAAATGCTAAAAATGGGTTCCAAGTTTTTTTTTGCAAACCGTACTTTTCAAGCGACATATGACAGATAGAGGTCATTGGCTTTCCTATTCTTATTTGATTTGAATCACATTATACTTGTACTTGTACTCGACCGAGCTGGACGTGTACAGTTACATTCTTATATCAGTCATGGATACAGTTAATAAATATACAGGTAAGTATTTAGATTTCTGCACTATATCACCACAATAAAAAATGCTGTGCCAGCCAAAAAGTAAAATTGTTCATGCATCCTGTAACTTCAGAGCTTTTGTTGAGTGGTGCTTTCCTTACACTGTATTCGCAATTGCGGGAAGATGAAAAGATTTTTTCAATTATTTAGGATGTCAATACGCACGTATTGACTGCACGAACTGTTTTTTTAATTGAAAATAAATTAGTGACTAATCTAAGATAAAAGTATCTAAGATACAGATACAAGATACGTATTTGTATCTCGTATTTTTTGTTAGCGTTCACTAAAGGAAGAAGAGTAGTTTGATATTTGTGTAAAGGAGAATGGTCATTTTACTTTGGGAGTTGGGCTAAGTTTTTTTCATTGCGTCTTATTGGAATAAGTGTACAACAATAGGGAATCAGGTGTATATTGCGTAGGAAAAATATCATTAGAAACTTAAGTAGTGGTTTAAAGAAAATATTAAATTACGTAAGCATTTTAAGGTTATGTCATATGTAGATTCGATTAAATTCGATATTTATACCATACTTAATTATTACTAGGTATACTACTTTAAACTGTATTTAATTAGGTTGTGACCTTTTGTCTTCTATTTTGGACTGGGAGTGAAACAAAAATTGAATGCACACGCTGCGTAAAATCTTATCAACGGGCAGCGTATATTTGTAAACTGTTGCGTTGGTGAGCTGCTATCTATCTCTATTTATTCCAAACATCTCAGATTTAATAAATGTGGCGTTGTTGAGGTGCGGTTATATTAGTGCTATTTATACTTATTCTCTTTACGCTCAAGCTGCACCTTTGATGCTCTGTTAACCCAACAATGGATCTAATATTATTTAAGGTTTAGGAATCAAACATAAATAAGACAAAATATTTTAATAATGATAATCATTTATTGATAACACATTTATCCAAATCGACATTATTAATGTGATATTTTTATTTTATATTTTTGAGGTTATGCCGAATCCAGTGGAACTGTAGTGACTTCGCCTAAAATATCTTTTGTAACTCGCCACCATGTCCTGTTGAGTTTGAAATATCCAGTTAAAGCTCTGCTAAGTTCAATTAACACAGCAGTTTATACATTAAGCGTGCTCTAATCCTGGTTTATATATTGCCTTTTTTTAAAAAAGAACAAATCTGGACATATATATAAGTTGCGTCACACATAACAATAGCGGGTTTAATATCATTTGGTAAGATTGGATTACCAAACAATCCCTCCGGGATTATTTTATTTCTGCTGGCCACTTGCTCCACATTTACATGACCAAAGCCCAAATGTCTTGACACAAAATCTTCAACTAAACAACTTCTAGCTATATTCATTTTTCTCTCCAAGGTCCTACGAGACATTTGAAAGAGGGAACTTAATCGTTCATTGCTGTCCCCAGTTCTTAACTTGACTATGTAAATACAGAGTGCTAAACGGGGATTTTTGACACTCTGTAATAAGCTTGGTACACATGCCAAGAGTTCATCAAACTGTTCAGCATTCATTCCCAGCCAATAATGGCATAAGAAAGGAGCCATTGCAGAAATATTTTCAAAGTCGAAACAATGGGAAACTGCTCTCTGCATTATATTCAAAATTGCATCAAACTGTACACCAGTAAAATCTTGCAGATTTGATGTTAAATCACTCCAACGCCCATTATTCAAGTGATGTTGACATATTCTACAACATGTGGGAACATAGAATTTATTATGTATTAATAACATTTCTCTTATTACTCTGGGTACTAATAAACATTGTTGTTCCCGGCATCCTGAAAACAGACAACTCAATGAAGTGGCTACAGCACGCTTATATACTGATGACTGTATCTTAGGTATAACAGGTCTTGAAGGCTGAACAGGTAATAGACCAGCGGGAAATGGTGGTGGTACTGGGATCACTGGTACAGACTCTGTTGGTTCTACATCAATTTGTTCAATTGATGACCGATTCATCTCTGTCTTCTATTAGCTGCTCGCCAACAGGCAGCACAAACTCTTGAAATTCTTGACACCTATAAAAAAAAGATAAGTGAACTTGAATTTAATGAAAAACCATCTACAACTATTTTATGCAATAGAAATATATTTCTTATAATAATAATAATAAATCATTTATCTGACAAGATATGGTAAATTATACAGATCTCAAAAATATAACCAACATGACCTGTCACTTTTATCGACGTGCAAATATTTATAGGTAGTTGCAGTATTATCCAGAACTCAATCTTTAAAAACTATATATATTATTTATATACCATAGTCATGATTGAGTTAGTTATTATATAATCAATTTCATTAATATACTACATGACAATTGTGCAATGTAAAAAAAATGTCAGTCATGTTTCAGTTAGTATTGAAATCAATTTAAATAAATTATTATTAATATAACATTTCAATCATGCAATGCAAAAATAATAATAATGTCACAGTCATGTTTTAATTAGCATTGAAATCAATTTTAATAATTTATTATTGATAATAATATCTTATATCATACCTGATGTGCTGGAGTCCATCTAAGAATATCATCTTTCTGGACAGTGTAGTGAAACCCTGTACGATTGACTTCTTAATATGGATTTTCCACAACCAAAACAGACTTGTTGATGGCCATATTGTGGTGCAGGTACTTCTTCTGTGGTGTCACTAGCTTGTAGTAGCATAAAGCATTCGTTGCACACTATGCCCCCATTCAATATCTATAACAAGTCAAAAATATTTATATTTATTTGAACATGTGAATGAAATTAAAACATTATCTCACGGTTGCGATTGTATAACGATATATTTTTAGTAATATAAGTAAATAATTACTTACAGAATCAGGTGCGATCCATGAGCTTAAAACATTAAGCATTGAATTGGATAGCATGTCCAAAGAATGTACTGGCTGTCGTCGTGGCACTGATATACAACAGTTAATACAACGTCGTTGCATACTGCCTGCGTTTTCTTGTGTAACACCAGATGCCATTGTAAACAAAAATAATTACAATAAACTAAGAGTCCAAATATCTCTGTCAGAATCACTAAAGGTAACTTAACACTAAATCAACGAGTCCAATGCTCTCTTTCCCAAAAAAAAGTTATTAACGGAGGATTACTCAACTCAACATTAAAACTATTCTGCCACAATAGACCACTGAAAACACAAATTCAATTCAAAATTGAAAACTGTACTTAAGTAGTTAGTCACTCGGAACAAACAACAAACACGTTGACAACAAGTTGACAGCTACCTACTTCACTTGCCTATGGTATATATTTCGATTTGATATAGGAATCGATTCCTACACAATCGATTAATAAATGTTTTATTTTCAATGCAAATGCTTAAAATGTTCAAACCATGAGTTAATTTATATATGATTAAGTAATTATATATAACATAACTGATAATTTAAACAAAAATATATTCCCTTTTTTAATCTAAGATGTGAATATGTAGTACACATATAAAAGTTTTAGTATGCGATCTACTGTTTGATGAACAAAATAGTCCGCAGGCAAAAAATCCTCTTTTGCGCAGCCCATTAAGTTCCTTTTAGTTTTTAGATGCAATGAAAGAGAGCAATCCCTGGTAGGTACAGTGAGATAGTCACAACACAGGTCTTACAAATGATAACTTTATGAATTTAATGTTATTTATCATGATATAATATTGGTAAAAATGCTCGTATCCATCATACAAACATTTGCCTCACCGGAATTCGAAACCAGGCCCTCTGAATAGGCGATTTGGGGAAAATAATCTATCCATCGATCCATACAAAAATCAAACAACTCGCATCGAAAACCTCAAAATAAAAAATGACTACGAATTAACGAATGATCATTATTTCGTAGTCATTTACGGTGTTTGGTAAAAATGTTTCAGGCTATTAATTGTTCTATGCTTTCAATTATAATAAACGTTTTATTTTTTCTTTTTGAAGTGAAACTTCTTTACGCACTCTTGACTTGGGGAGTAAGCTAGCGAACGTAAGCGTTAAGAAAAGTGTGATCGGGCGAGGCGAACGGGAGTTGAGTGGGGGATGTAAGCATGAGAAAGCAGTGCGCGTGCACATTTTCTTTCTCTCTTCCTCTCATAGCCAAATACGTTCCGTATATCTAAGCACAGTGCAAGCCTATTGTCTGTATCACAGTGTAGGAGCAAGAGCGCGGGCACGCATTTTCTTTCTCTTTTCTCTTACAGCTAGTAAATGAAAGAAGTTTCACTTCAGTTGTCTAGTCATAAGCACACTCGTTTTTTTATGTTAAGAATATTTAAATAAAGAAATATAATCGATTTTTTTTCTTACGATAGTATCGACCAGGTGATACAACTTTTATCTATGGTTATTGGTTATTTACTCAGTTTAATAGCCATTTATTTATTATTTTAAATATCCGCATAATATTTACATAATAAACACACATATGAAATGATAATTCAGAAGAAGATTTTTGATACATAAATGCGTCAAGCGCAATCTAGGCGGATTTGCCCATTCTCCTTTCTTTGGTCTGTTTTGTAATGGAGTGTAATGTAGATAATAATCAGGTTATTTTTACAAATAATAATTAGAAAGAGAGAGACCCGAGCTTATTAATTATATCACCTCTTGAACATGCCCATTCGTAAACACTGCATATTATTAATAATCGCGGTCACCCATCCAAAACCCAACCAATCGTAAACAACCTGCATATTTTTAATAATCGCATCGCGGTCACCCATCCCAAACCTAATCAATCGTAAACAAACTGCATATTCATAATCATGGTAACCCATCCTAAACCTGACCAATCATAAACATCCTGCACTTTCAGATTATCGAAAAAAAAATACACCGAAACTATCATTAATTCATAGTTCTTGATAAATATTGAAGAAACGTGAATGCAAGTAAGATCAATCGTAAGATGATGATGATGAATTTGATGTTTGGAAGAACAGCAGCCTCGTCTTTAGGTTCGTGGCC